GGGCTCGCGTCGCGCCCCCGCCTCGCTTCTGGCCGCGGCCCGCGCCCCTCGCCGCCCGCCCGGGAGCCATGCGCGTCGCCTCCTTCTCTCCTTCAAATTTAAGATTCTGACAAGAGGCGCGCCGGCGGGGTGCGGGGAGGAGAAATCGCCCGCCGCGGCCTTCCTGCGCCAGCGCCCCTCGCTCGTAGCGACCAGGCGAACGCGGGGCTGCGGCTCCTGGGGACGGGAAGCCAGAAATGTTTGTTTAAAATAGCACGTGGTTGTTCAGGGGGTCTTTTGTTCCTCAAGTGTTATAGTTTGAAATCCAGGAGAGTGGGGGGATTACTCCTGAAGCATTCAGTTGCTAATTAACACTAAAATCCCACATTGTGTGTTCTTCAAGAGGAGAGTGGAAGAAACTTAAGAAATTACTTTTTTAAAGGTGAAGTTGGACATTTTATTTTTAATTTATTTAAACTGCTTCTTGAAGTCAGTTTCAATGCAGTTCTCGTCTTGCTCTGAAATAGATTTTTACACAGATCTTTCACGCAGTTCTGTCTGCCCTCCTCTGCTATTCATTATCTTTGTGAAAGTTTCACTGCTTTTTTCTCTGCTTGCTGCTTTCCCTTACGGGCCAGTGCAGAGGGCTTTCCTCAGCAGTTTCACCCTTTTCTCTTAGTGTTGTCCCTGCACAAACTTCCTCTAAACACTAGTGATTTTTAAAAGATACTGAAAGGAATAGCTGAGTGAAACCGCATCTGGGCCTAGGGAGCAGAAGATGAACACAGCTGCCAGTAGCTACCCAATGGCTTCTCTGTACGTGGGTGACTTGCACCCTGACGTCACGGAGGCCATGCTGTACGAGAAGTTCAGCCCTGCGGGCCCAGTCCTTTCCATCCGCGTCTGCAGAGATATGATCACCCGACGCTCCTTGGGATACGCATATGTCAACTTTCAACAGCCAGCGGATGGTGAGTGTGAGGGTGTGTGTGATGTTCTGGTTTATGCTGAAGGCGGGCAACTTGCTTTGGCATTCTTGCTGCATCCCACCATTGTTAAGCACAAATATGGTTTCCTTTGGAAACTTTCCCCACTGTTACTAAGGCTTGAGATGAGTTCAAATATATTCCATCATGTTACACTTCTGGTGCTCTTTAAAAGATCACTTGGAGATGAATACCGTGCATTATAACAGGATTTCAGCATGAACCCACCATGTCTGAACTCAAGTAACTGCCCGCTGTGCTACCTTAACTTTGAGCATAGGAGACCCATTGCCAATTAGTTGGTAGTTAAGCTTGAGGCTGTCTAAACCAGTTTCCTCCGGCTAGGTGCCTTCCGAAGGTTGAACCACAGCTCCCATCATCCCATTTCTGATTGGGTTGGTGGAACTGGGATAGGAAAGGACTTGATTCTTACAACAAGGCCATTTCTTGCTAGCAAGCTAGTTTAAAGAAATGGCAGGTTGGCAAAGTGACATACTTTGGGTGACCTGTGACATCACAATCTGGACATTTTAAAATATTCTAGTATTTGAAATCTTACAGGAAGCTGAAGTGCCCCCCTTGTAAATTAGGGAAGAATTCAGCACGAAAAATGTTCCCTTGTAGACCATTTCTGTCTCCAATGCGATAAAATGCAGCAGGTGATCCTGTGACAATGAGGATATTGGTGTTGAACATTAAGTCCCCAACAGTAAGAGAAAAAATATAGCCCATGGGGGGGGGGAGTTCAGATATCTGGAGAAGTTCCTCATTTTTTTCCTTGGTCTTTACCCCAAATATGGTTCACCTCTTTGACCTGAAGTTGAGAAAGGAAAAGAGGGCTTTCTGAAGTCTTAAGCATTCTGAAAGCAGTCTCCAAATTAGGTTTAAAAATCTAAAGCAATGCCACCAAAGGGCAGGTTCTCATGTTTTGGCTGGCCTTCACAACCAGGCAGAATGTGTGCTATCACTGGAACAGATAGTCTTGGGACCTAGGAAGCAAGTGGCGCCCCCATGCCGAGCCTGAGCGAGCACCTAGGCCTGCTCTGCTTTCCCGCCTGAAGCTAGGAAACGGGTTCGGCCCAGTCACGCCTAGCTTCAGGCTTGCCATATGCTGGTGGCAACTAAAATTTATGTGCAGGTGGAGTTCTGGCAAACTCCAGAACTCCACATGCCAAACTCCGGCATGGACTTCCTCATAACTGTTCAGAAAACACCTGTCTCTGCTTCTGTTTGGTTGCTGTAGCATGTAGCTGGCATGATTTGCTGTGAAGGACAGGTGCTTCCTCTGGACACGCCTGTGTCCAGCCATGTAGCCCTTACAAGCCACTGGTTTCTCACCAGTCCCTGCTGGTCATCTGGTTAAGCAGTGGGCTGAGTCATGGTTTCCTATTACACCAAGTTAGAGTTGTCCAGGCATGTGCGGAGGGACATGGCTGTGGGTCAGCGAGTCATCCGGTTGCCAATAGTTGGCAGAGTGAGACAGAGCACGAAGCCATGGGACAAACAGGAACAGCCGAATGAGAACTAGGGCTTTGGGCAGAGGATGTGCTGCCCTGCAGCAATAGTGCATGTTGGGTGTAAAGAAGCAGCTCTGGTGTAATGTTTGTCCTTAATTTGTTCTTGGTGCTCCCATGCAAAACCCCCCAAACATCCATATAAATTACAATATTCTTGAGTAGATCAGTTACAGTAGGTACATATGCAATACATACCTCATCTATGTTGTGTAAAGTGCAATCTGCTACACCTGTGTTCACAGGCATAGTTATACATAGTTATACGTGAACTTTGACAAAAGCAGACTAAATAGCCGTAATTTATGCTTGGAGATCATGCATTAACAAACGGACAGTGTCAAGTCCTCAACCTGTTGTGTTACCCAGAGTGGCTTCTTGGCCGTCCACTGCAGTGAATAGCCTTTTAGCTTTCAAAAGGGCATAGAGAATCCATTTATATGCAGATAGATAGTTAAGAACAACAAGCACACGGATGGATATTATATGTCCTTTCCATCACGGTGTTTGTCTATATTGTTGCCTCCCCACAAAAAGAGGCAGCTGTTGAACATTACTGAAACGTGGGGAAGAGAAGCATTAGCACTGTTACACTTCCAACAGTTAATTGTTTTAGACAAACCCTGGTGTAATTATAGTACAATTATATTGCATCTGATTGTGGGGTTCTTTGTGGATCAAAAGGACAGAGCTGAATCAAAGAGAGATATACACAAAACAGAATTCCAGGTGCTGCCCATGCAAGCAGAGTGGTAATACGCAGGCTTGTAGAGAAAAGGAAAATGGTTTTAATACTTTTAGAAATGCCGTCTGTCTGTCTGTCTGCTGCAGTGTCTGTCCAAGTGTGCCTGTTCTTAAAGCAAACAGCTCTTCCCAGCACCTCCCAAGTGTGCAGCCATGGCTTTGGAGGGGGGAAAGGGTTGTGCCGGCAGCGAGTGCTGTGATGGAATCTCTAGATGGGCTTTTGTTGCATGCCGTGGTTTCAAACCGCTCACCCTTTTTCAGCTGCAGACTCGAGAGACTGCTGTCCTTGCCAGCATATGTCCTGGACCACCTTTTCCTGCTATAAATAAGTGTTGCCAAATTTAACTAGCTGGGCTGAGGTGCCATTTGAAACTCTTTGATTAAAGCAACGCAGCTGATTTTTCCTCCTCAGCTGTAGCCCTGATCCCTCTCTGCAGTCAGCAAATGATGAGGAACAGAGGAATGATAGGAGGACACCTTGAGTGCATCAGCCGAGCTGCACCAGTGCCTTCAGCGACACCTCCCCGGGGACCTGTCCTGGGGCGTTCTCGGGTGCTCGCGGCTGGAGTCTGTGCTCTGTGCGTGAGAAGCCCTCCGCAGTGCACTTGGTGACTTTATTGGGTTAGATGGCACCGCTTGCGCTAGCTGGTTCCATCAGCTCTGCTAGCATCGATGCAACTGCCAGCAGGACAGCGCCATCACCTGGCCTTTCCTGCTTCATCACATGCAGCCCAGCATCTTGGGCATACTTGTTGGGCAAGATTTGGGTAAAGGGGCAGGGTGTGAAATGTGTGTGATGAGGGAACTGATAGGAAAGATGGTCATTTCCCTTGAACTTCAGCTGAACTTGTTTATTAATGAGTAGTCAAGAGGATGATTATGATTTTAACTTGTTGCAACAGTTTTTCACTTCTGCTTGAAGAACTGTCCCTACATATTTCAAAAACCCACCTCAGGTTCAGCTCACTTTATCTAATTTTGAGGGAGAGGGTTACGATTTCACAAGAATGGCTTTGTAAACAACTCCTGCATGGGTACCTGTGGGACCATAAGCATACAAAATGACTCTCCCCCTGCCTCCTAATGGCCATGTTCCAACACATGTGTGGCACTTACCCGCTGGCCTTTTTCTGAACAGGGTCACATCCGGCAAAGCCTAATGTGTGTTTTCCACATGGGATAATTTTTACCTGTCTTGGGTGAGCTGAGCTAGTTGCAGGTGAGAAGCACTTCAAGGAGTACATTTTCATTCTAGCTTCAGGCATTCTCTTTTTCTCTTATAAATTAATTAATTTTATTCCTAGTAATTTAAAATAATGGTACGGAGCTGTATCACTGGCTTCTGAATTTTATGAACAGGATGTTGATGGGCATATGTCATAGTGCTTTTCATATGCTAGTCAGCACAAAAATAGAATCCTGAAGGGAGATTAGTGTGAGTTAAGATTGTCTACATAGCAGAAATTTCAGAATGCAGAGGGTATGGTTTCTAGCTTAGTACAAGTTGTGTTTCCCTGTGTTTCTTCATTAAAGTATGCTGGAGCATTGGCCATTAAGATAAGCCTTATGCAGAGAAATTGGCGATGCAAAATACACAAACATTACACCCGTCTGTTTGGTATTAGGACTTGATAGTCTTTGGATCTGTAATCTACTGCCTTCTTTTATCATTTAGGGATAGAACTTTTAATGTAGATCATTTCTTTCATTGGTGTGCTTGCTTCAACATAGAACAAACACAACATGACTGTCCCTGGACCAGTCCCTAATTAATGTTGATACGTAGAATTAGTTGTAGGGGGTCACAAACATTTTCCCTTGCCAATATTCACAGCCAGCAACAGTCCTGCTCAGGGTTATTTTCTTCTGTTTTTAAGGTTAAATTCTCACTTCCCTTTGTCTTTAACTTTGCAGCTGAGCGAGCCTTGGACACCATGAACTTTGACGTGATCAAAGGCAAGCCCATCCGCATCATGTGGTCTCAGCGGGACCCTTCCCTGAGGAAATCTGGGGTAGGAAACGTCTTCATTAAGAACCTGGACAAATCCATAGACAACAAGGCACTTTATGACACATTCTCAGCTTTTGGGAACATCCTTTCTTGCAAAGTAAGGCTTGGCATCATTTCTGAACTCCGAAAAGTTCTGCTTTGATGTGCCTGATGGTCTTGTGAGGGTGGCTGGGTCTTCACTTGAATGAGTGTAAAGTGGAAAAGGCGTGGTGGCAATGAGCATGGAAAGGTGTGAGGGCTCTACGTGCAGGGGCATATGTGGCATACCGTGTGGAAAGGTGGAAGGAAGGAATCCGCCGTGCAGTCAGCGTGGAGGCCAGAAGTTTGTTTTTGCCGAGTGCCGAAGCTGCGCCTGGGCAGCACGTGTCCTCCCTTCTTGGTCCCGGGGGGCAGGGGAGGTGCCGGGGAAAGGAGCGTCCTGTGCACATCTCTGTTCAGATGACGGCCCGGTGCAGGGAGTGGGTGTGCAAGGGCAGGGACGCTCTCTGGGAAAGAGGAGCTGGGCACGCTTGTGTGAGACTCGGCGCAGAGGCACGTGTGACCCAGCCCGGCCGAATTGCCCCGCAGGTGGTGTGTGACGAGAGTGGCTCGAAGGGCTATGCCTTTGTGCACTTTGAGACACAGGATGCTGCAGATCGGGCCATTGAGAAGATGAATGGCATGCTGCTGAACGACCGCAAAGTGTGAGTGTCTCGCCAGAAGCAGTGGCAGCCACCGCATGAGCCGTGATGCATCCCAGTATTAACCCACAAGGCTGCTGGTCTCCTGGCCCAAGCTTTGGCCTGCTGCCTCTCTACTCCAGGGCTGGTGAGTTTTCCTGCCCGAGCCACAGCCTGCTCCCCCAGTGCATGGGCCCACCTCTACTTGACGCCTCCCTGCCGCTGGGCACTGGGTTGGGTATTCTCGTCTTGCCGCCTTTCAACTTCAGGACGGGATGCTTCTGCTCGGTCTCTTGTCCTCTTCTGTCCACCCCTTTCATCCTTTGCTGCTGCTCGTTCTTGCCTTTATCCCCTGAAATCAGGCTGTTGGCAAGAGAGGTGCTTTCTTCATACCTTTTGCTCTTCTCCCATCCAGATTTGTGGGCAGATTTAAATCCCGTAAAGAACGTGAGGCAGAATTGGGAGCGAAAGCAAAGGAGTTCACCAATGTCTACATTAAAAATTTTGGAGATGACATGGATGATGAGAGGCTGAAGGAACTCTTCAGCAAATATGGTAAATACTCCAGCAATAAGTCCTTAATGCTCGGCAGTAACTACTGAAGCCATGGCAGTTGACGTGCTGCTTTCATAGCAGAGGCTGTACAGAATTCAGGTATTCACCTGGTCAATGGTGCCACTAACGGGTTGCATCCAGCGTTATTTTAACTTGAGTCCCATCAGTTTCAGTATGTTTACTCTAAGAGGGAATCATATAGGATTTACCTTTAAAGCCTTAATGTGGCTTGGAATCACATTATCTGTTGGAGTGCCTCTTCTCACCACAATCTACCTGGATGTTATGGTTAACATCTGGGGCCTTCCTTCAGGTGCTAACTCCGAGAGATGTGGAGGGTGGCAACAAGGAGGTCTCAAAAAGCTTAACAAATTTGAAATATTGATGTGACTGCTACAGAGGGAATAAATCTTAAGTTTCTACTTGAAAGTTTCTCTTTGAAATTCTGCTATATGCTCCCTTGCTGACTCCATTCTTTTGGTAACAGGAAAGACCCTCAGTGTCAAAGTCATGACAGACCCTACTGGGAAGTCCAAAGGCTTTGGCTTCGTGAGCTTTGAAAAGCATGAAGAAGCCAACAAGGTACAGTCATTTAGCCCATGGTCTCTGCGTTGCTCACGTCTGGCTTGGGAAGCAGACCTTCCGCACCGTCATCTAAAAAGCCTTTCCGTTGAAGCATGTTGCATTATCTGCTGGCTCTCTGCCTGCCTGCCACACAGAGTGGTTGCTGACCTGCAGAGGGGCTTGTTGGCAGTGGATTCCGGATCATTCTCCCAAGAACTCTTGTTTATAAGAATGAGGAGTCTCTGAGTATTCCAGCAGACAATCCTGGGGCATTCACAAGACCCTGTGTTTCTCTAGGTAACTGTGAGCTCCTCTGGCTGGGGTCAGCACCCAGCTTAGGTGATCCAGAGAGTTGGTCAACACTTTGAATCCACCTAACCTCTAAGTTAGCTCTTGGTGGGGGCAGGGTCGCTAGTGCAAAATAAAGGATGGCATAGTTGAAATTTTGTTAACTGATGAAGCATCTCAGATATATATATATGATTTGAATTCCTTTACAGGCAGTGGAAGAAATGAATGGAAAAGATATCAATGGGAAAATGGTGTTTGTGGGTCGGGCTCAGAAGAAAGTGGAACGCCAGGCAGAGCTGAAACGCAAATTTGAGCAGTTAAAACAAGAGAGAATTAGCCGGTATCAGGTAAAAAGCATGGGTGCTCCAGCTCTGAGTGAATGTGTTCTGTTCTTCACAGATTTACCTGACATTACTACTGTAATGGAGTTTGCCTTAAATTGCCATTTGTGCTTGGTTGGGTTCTGTCTCTAGATCATAGTAAATCCATTTAGAAGGAACTTGGATAATGATGATACACTGAGTGAGTTTGGACAACATGATCAGGGGCTGAGTGTGGGTTGATCAGGCTGTTGTAGAACTGGGTTGCTGAAATCTGTTGCTGTTCTGTCTTCACCAAGTTCACAAGCCAGCATCAAACCATGGGAGCCCTTCATGGATTGTTTGTGGTTAATTAACTATGGTTGTGTATTGTTTTTAGCACTGCTAGGATCAGACAACACAATTCCATGTCTGAGCAACAGCCCATGGTTCAAGGACAGCCTTTGCTCAGCCTTTGAACCAAGTTACTGCCATCTAAGGATCAGCAGTCATGAGAGAGGGTTCAAATCCATTGGAGACTCGTCAGCTTAAGATTTGGCTTAAGTATTATTAAACTTCATGTATAAACAGATGAAGCAGTGCATGGGTTACAGCTTAAGAGAAAAGTCAGGTCAAGGAAAGTAGTTGAGGGGGGTTCATCTGCATTTTCCCCAGTCATTGGTATGAGGGGCAGGCCTGTGGACATGTGATGCAGAGTAAATGCAGGCAAGTTTATGTTTTTTCATAGAGACATTTGCCTCTAGGCTCTGAACATTTCAGTGTCTTCTACAGCAGGTGATAGGACATTCCTGGTTGATAAAGATTAATAATTGTGTCTTGGCTGATTACAAATAATGAGATTGCTTGTACACCCAAGTAGTAGTAGCACCTTCTACACTGTTACCGTCTCATGCTAATATTTTTTGTGTTTTCAGGGAGTCAATTTGTACATTAAGAACCTTGATGATACCATTGATGATGAGAAACTGAGAAAGGAGTTCTCTCCTTTTGGGTCCATCACAAGTGCCAAGGTAACTGGAATGTCCTCCAGAGGAGGACCTGTTGAGAAATCAGGCTAAAGGGTGAAGTTCTAAATGCATTTAGTCATGCCTTGCTGAACTCAGCGGGGCTTGTTTCCGGGAAGGGTGCTTGGGGACAGGCTGTAAGAACTCTGTGCACGTGCTCTTGGGGTGGAGGGACCATGAAATGGCATCTCTGGCTGACTAGTGCTGTGTGAGTGGGTTGCACCTGAATCTTTCCCATGCTTTGTAGAACAAGTGCAGGCCTGGGGACATGTGGTGCTAAAGCAACGCAGAGAAAATCCAGACAAGTCACCTTCCTCTTGTCGACTTGTCTCTACGCCTTTGCAACACTGGTTTCTGTAGGCCTGTCTGCCAGATGGATTCCTGTGCAGCATTGCTGTGCAAATCCAAGTCTGGCAAAGCGGGTGCCCACATGCTGTGCTGTTTGGAAAGCAGAGCTGGTCCTGTGGTGGTTTTTGCCTGCAGGATAAATAGGCGAGGGACTGATTAAGTCCATAGCATGTGTGGACTAAGGAAAGGGGGCAGAGTGGTTATAGCTACTGAACAAACTCCTTCTACAGACGTGCTGTGCAGAGATGTCCTGTTTGCGGTGACAAAGGTACGCTCAGCAGAAAAGCACTGCTGCGTCTGAGCACTTTAACATTAGTTGCTGTGGCCGTAGGACTCCAGTCATGCTTTGGGTACCGACGGTGGGGTTCTCCTGGCTCAGGCAAGCATCATCAGTGCAGAAGATGTACGAACTGCCATGTGTTCTTCTAAATAGCCCCTTTCCTTAGGTAATGTTGGAGGATGGGCGCAGCAAAGGCTTTGGCTTTGTCTGCTTTTCCTCTCCGGAAGAAGCCACAAAAGCTGTAACAGAAATGAACGGGCGCATTGTGGGCTCCAAGCCGTTGTACGTGGCCCTGGCACAGCGGAAGGAAGAGCGGAAGGCCCACCTCACCAACCAGTACATGCAGCGCATTGCTGGGATGAGAGCCTTGCCTGCCAACGCCATCATCAATCAGTTCCAGCCCGCTGCCGGTGGATATTTCATGCCTGCAGTACCCCAGGTGCGTCCCAAGCAGCGCTGCCCGTGCCTGCTCCAGGGTGCGGGCCTTGCCCAGAGGGGAGCCGCAGGCAGTGCTCCAGATGCATTCGACACAGCTAGGCTGGCGCGTGTTTGCTGCGGTACGGCCTGATTTTAACATTTTGGGGCTCCTTTAACACTTAACACCACACTTACACAAATCAGTGGTGCAGCAACACTTAGAATGCTGTGAACAGTTTTGTGCTCAGAGACTAATAACAGATGTTAGAGCTGGGGAAAGTGCAGAAGAGGGTGATTGAAATGGTCGGGCTGCTTGAGCGACTCCCCTGTGAGGAACAGCAATAACTTCTGGTATTGTTTCGCTTAGCAAAAAGGCATGTAAGGTAGTGATGGCAGAGATGTGCAGAAGTACGCATGGTGTAGAGAAGGAGACGGGGGCGTTTTTCTCATTCTGTTACGGTACGAGGACCAGTTAATTGATGGGAGATGTAGGGCAAGTAGAAGGACTGACTTTGTATAGCACATGGTTAATCTGTAGAATCCACTCGCTCAAGAGGAAATGGTGGGCTCCCATTTGCGTGGCTTGGAAGGAGGATGGGAGGTGCAAAAGGAACATGACAGAACCAGAAGAAATCCTTCAGTGCTCTTGAAGGAGCACAACTGCAGTATGTCAGGCCAGTCTTCCCTGTTCTGAGAAATTGCTGGGGACAGAGTGGGGCTCAGGTTGGTTGTTTGGCATTTTCATTGCCTGTTCTTTTCGGTTGTGGTAAGTCAGAAACATGAAAGCTGTACAAGTTAAACTTTTTTAAAACATAAAAATGGAGCAGAGGGATTAAACAACACAGGACAACTAATTGCATAATTGTGGAGGGGTGTGTGCGGTATGGAGTGGTTTAGGGTTGTGCAAGATAAATCTTGCAGATACTTTGAACAGCAAGTCTCAGTAGCTCAGGAGGGTTACAAACAAAAGAAGCAAGTATTGTGCACTGAAGCAGATGGGTACAGTTGCATTTCCCCAAACTTGAGCAAGGACTTGAGCAAACCTGGATTGAAAAGGCGGACGGAAAGCTGCTGCAGGACCGTGTTGCAATATGACCACTCTGATCCTCTCTGCTTTGCAGGCTCAGAGTAGGCCCACTTATTATGCGCCGAATCAGATGACTCAGATGAGACCGAGCCCACGCTGGCAGCAAGGGGGGAGGCCACAAGGTGAGCATCCAGGAACTGCTTTGGCAGCCTTCTTCCTCTTTTACTCGCCTGCAGGAAAAGGGAGGCTGTCAGCTACCGTACCTCACAAATGCAGTAGGGCTATCCCAATGCGATGCACTAGAATTTTGTCTTCTGCTTTTTTCCACCTGCAAAACAACCAACCCCCAACCCCAATCTAGGTTTCCAGGGGATGCCAAACACCATGCGGCAGTCTGGACCAAGGCCTGCACTACGTCACCTGGCTCCAGCGAGTAATGCGCAGGCTGCACGTGGCCTGCCTGGAGCTACTCAGAGAGTGGGTAAGTGATGCCACGCAGACGGCTTCCACTGCAGAAGGAGGATGGGCCTGTTCACATCCAGCCATCAGTTGGCTTACTGTGACATTGTACTTTCAGGATGTGGAAACTGGCTGTTGCTTTGACTGTACCTTCTAGACACATGCAGTCAAGCCATGTGCCGTAGAAAATCACAGAAGTAGATGGAATTTTCTAAAGGTCTTTTGGCAGCAGAGACTGTTAGTTGTTCTGCAGCTTGTAAGAATTGAAAAATGACAGCTTTGGACTGAAATAGACTTGTTGAACAAGACTATTAGAGGCAGCAGATTTGAATTCTGATGTGCTTCAGCATCATCCAGTGATTTGCCTGATATCGTTCATTTCATGATTGGGCAAGTTAGTGCATGTTAGTTTTGTTTAATTCTGTTCTGTTCACTTCTGATCCTCTCTTATGTCTCTCTCCTAAAATAGGGGTTGCTGCCACAGCTCCAAACTTAGCACCTCGTCCACCTGTAGCTACTCAAGCTCCCAGGGCTGTTCCACCCTACAAATATGCCTCAAGTGTCCGCAGCCCTCACCCAGTACAGCCTTTGCAGGTACTGTGAGGACCTTGGCTTGGCAGTGCTAATATTAAACTGCAGTCGCTGGAAGGTTCATTACTTACATAGGTGTGCCTTGATCTGTGCCCTAGAATTCAGAAATGTCATGGGCAAGCTCTCCAGGCAAGCTAAATTGGGGGCTGTGTTCCTCTGTTATAAAGTTGAGATCTGCTGTTCTTGCATGAACGGGCTGGCTCCTTTTTGTAGCCCGCTTTGCTGCAGTCCAGTATGATTCTAGACCTCGACTGAATATGGTTAATGACCATTCAGACGCGCATCCTGCATGGCTGTATAATGAGGCCCTCAGACGAGTCCTGCGGGATCAGACCACAATCTTTGCATGCAGTGCCCAGCCAACTGCCAGCAGAAGATGCACGCGAGGGACACAAGCATGACGGCACCCTCCCATCCAAGTGCCCCAGCGACTGGTGCACCTAGGCACGCTGCCTCTGATACTGGAGGGAATGGAGCCACCAAGTCTAGTAGCCACTGACAGCCTTGGCAACACAGTGCTTCTTACATAATGCAAATAGTTCAGACAGCCAGTTTCCCGTGGAAGTGTGCAGACAGACATGAACCACTCAGCTTTGTGAATAGTATCTGCTTGAATTAGCCCAGAGAGCCTATTCGCATGTTCGCTTCACAAACCTCAAAGTGCAGCTTGTCTGCAGGGTCGTATGGTAGGTTAATCACTGTTACAGCTCGAGGTAACAGACTCTGCTGTTTTGTTAAGGAAATATACTAGCAAAAAGCTTTATTCCAACTCTTTTCTGTTAGTCTATCAATCTTAAAAGTTGTGAGTGTTGTAAGCAAAAATAATTTTTCCCCAAATCAGTACTCGATGTTGACCTTCCTCACAATTTAATGAGTGACTATGTAAATAAAAACAACAATCACAAGCATTTGGGTTGGTTGGTGCCAACACGAGTGACTTGTTTTAATTTTTTACGTAAGTGTTGAATGATATAAAGGGTTTAAAACAAAGAACCAGTCCTCTTCCTACTTTCTACATTAACAGGCAAATTCTTTATTCTCTAATAGGCGCCTCAGCCTGCCGTCCATGTCCAGGGACAGGAGCCTTTGACTGCATCCATGCTGGCTGCTGCTCCCCCCCAGGAGCAAAAACAGATGCTGGGTAAGCCATTCTTCCTTGTCCTTGGAGATTTTGGGACTCTGGGATGAAGAAGTCCTGTGGGCATTGAGGCTATGCAAATTCTGCTACATTCTGCTTTCTCGCATGTGCAGAGGCCACCGTGAAAAGTACAGCACAGAAATTAGTTTCAGAAGGCTGTACCGTACCAGCTTGCATGGGGATTATGAATCTTTCAATCTTGTGTTGCTTTCCTGCTGCGGTCCCATACTGACCAGGCTTAGCGTGTCGCACAGAGACTCGGAATATTGCTGGGCTGAGGAGAGATGGCACTGCCCCTCCCCTCCTCATCACTCTGCTCTGCCTTCATGAAAGAGGCTCCTTACGGCATCCTACTTCATGACACGCTTTGTTCTTCCTTCCCCAGGAGAGCGTTTGTTCCCCCTGATCCAAGCTATGCATCTCAACCTTGCAGGAAAGATTACAGGAATGCTGCTAGAGATTGATAACTCAGAGTTACTGCACATGCTGGAGTCTCCAGAATCCCTCCGCTCAAAGGTAACGGAGCCCCCACCCACTGTCTGTGCTTTGCCCACAGATACTATTTCCGTCAGTTTAGATGGGAGCAGTGGCGAACCTAATTTCTCCCCATTCCAGGTGGAAGAGGCAGTGGCCGTACTGCAGGCTCACCAAGCCAAGAAAGAAGCTGCCCAGAAAGTGGGCATGGTTGCTGCTACCTCCTAATTCAGGGAGGCAGGTGAGTGTCCTAGCGCTGGCTCTTCTGTATCAAGAGACAATTTGGTGTCCCTTTTGCATAGAAAAGTAGCTGCACCAGGGCAGCAGCTATTCTTTGATTCCAGTTTGTCATGTAAGGGTAGCTTTCAGGGTAGCTAGCTTTCTTCTTTTGGGAGAAAATGTCCATCCAGTGTTTTAAAATATATCTGCGTAATACATCAATCAATTGATTTCAATTCCATTACTTAAAATCTCTAAAAGTTTTCATTAGAATTTAGGATAGATTCCTTCCTCCTTCCATCCATATGTCACCTTGATCCATACAAAAAGTCATTGGCAAGATGTTCCTGAACTGTTCATGTTCTTCCCCAGAACAAAATTATATGGGTAGCCTATTTTAGGAGGCTACCCTAAAATGAATTCAGCATCTCTAAAGTGCTCTCTTTCTCTTTGTAGGTTGTAAAAAAAAAACAGGTGGGGTCCCTGAAGAAACCATCTGCTCAAGATAATTAGAAATAACATTGTCTTGCACCATGCAGCATATCTCATTGACAGTATTCCTGTGTAAATCTCATAAAATGCCTTATTTGCAAAAAACAAAACACACATGCAAAATTTAAATTCCTTTACAGCTTTGGTTTCCAAGATTTAAATATGCAACATTTCTTTCTTACAGCCAGAACAGAATTACCCACTTTGTCTTCCTATAAGCAGGAAGCTGCAGTTTTTCTGACTGGACATTTTCATTTACAGTTCTTGGTTTTAATCAGACAATCCTGTTTGCAAAGTCTGGAAAGTATTAATAAAAGAAATAAAAGCATTTCATGAAATTGTGTGAGCCGTCTTCCCCTCTCCTTTCCCAGTCCCCTAACGAATAGGCACACAGATTCAACTTGCTTTGGGTGCACTCATTCAGGAGCTCTTGTGCAGGCTCCCTTGAAATGAATGGGAACTACATAGTACTGTACGGAAGACTGGTGGAAATTCCTTTCATTTACCAGTTGATTTATTTTGCAACACAAAATCAAACTTGGCTGAATTCTAACATTGTGCTTGCACAGCTCAACTGCCTCCTGTTTGAAAGATGCTTACTAGTAGGATAAGTGGCTGGTGTTTCCACATGGGATTCGCAACCCCAAGCCTGTCTCTGATTTTCTGCAGCGAGCTCAGGGTCCAAAGAACCATGCAACTTGTTCTGTATGGCGAGATTAATCTTCCTGACCACTTAGTAAACCACATTTGGAAACTTTGTGGTGCTTTCGGAAGCATTTTGTGATACAGTTCAGGATTCAAATTCTGCAAGGCATGATCAAGCTCTCTCGGGAGCATTAGTTGTACTTCTTTGAATCTCCACCTAGCGGCAGATACTTTTAAAATGACTTTAAGGAATTCTTTATTTTTTCTCAGTTCAGTCGAGCGATCATGGCACAGATGTAAAAAGGTCTGGAACAGTCACACCAGGCCCTGCCGCACCCAACCAGTGTTCTCTCTCTGATCTGGCAGTGGCTAGTCAGATGCTGCTGGGAAGCTCCCCGGCTGGGCAGTGGGTCCTGAGAGGCATCCTGCTCCTAATTACTGCTGGTTGTGTCACACCAGCCAGAGTAGCAGCCACTAGCAGCCCTATCCTTCATAAATTTGTCTAATCCCTTTCTAAAGCCAGCTAAGTTGATGCTATCCACAAGACTTGTAATGTCTTCAGTTTAAATAGTTCCTATGTGAAGTACTGCCTGTTGTCGGACCTGGGGTTTCCCCCTATTCAGCCGTGTTGGATGTCTTAAAGTTCTTCCTCTCACAATACACCATTATCTCCCTTCTCTGTCAGTGGAGAAGAGTGTCCCATTTTGATTCTATACTTAACAGCATGCATAATTTTTAAAAGCCCAAGACACTAAGTTCTTATCTGGAAAGCCCTCAAGGTTAGCAATTGCTTTCTTGGATGGTTACATGAAAATGGATTTCTGTATATATAGCCTAGCAATGGAATCAGTTTTGTCTTTGGTATTAATACTAAAGTGTTCATGTTTTATCGCTTTCCAACTAGCTATCAAGCCATTCTAGTGTTCTTTCAGGGAGGGAAGGAGGGAGCCTGTGGCCTTCTAGATCAACTTTCCCAAGCCCATGTCGTGTATTGCAATAATCCAGTTTTGAGATGATCAGAGCAGATTACTGAAACCAGGCTCCCCCTGACCAGCTATGGGTGTCATTGAGCTACCAGTAGAAGGCACTCTGCGATTGAGGCCACCTGGTCCTCAAGTGGCAAATGTGACGCTGGGACAACCTCCAGGCCAGGTACCTGCTCCCTCAAGGGGAGTGTGACCCCACCCAGAGCAGGCTGAATTCCCTTTATCAAGAGAACCACCCATGACAATGGAAGTTGCAGTTCATAATTTAGGGGGCCAAAGGTTCCCTACACCTTTCATGGTTTCAGGTACTTCGACCAGGGTGCCAACGCGCCGCAAATCAAGCTGATTCGTTGCACAGAAGGCTGGTGTGGTGCAGCGGTGAAGAGAGCGGAACTAGGGCTCTGGGGTCCCACGGAGCCAGGCGGGTGACAGCCGGTCAGTCAGCCCGGCCCGCGCCGCCGGGTGGTGGGCAGGATGAGGTGGAGAGAACGGTGGCAGCGGGACAAGAAGGAAGAAGGGATATACCATGAATCGGCCATGCTAGCCGAGGACGAGGGGAACCACAGCGCGGCCCATCCCACGGGGCGCATCGCCCGGCCTTTCCTCCCAGCGCCGGGTTCGAAGGTCCGGGCGCACGAGGGAGCCGCCCCACGCGATGACGGGCGGGCAGCTCACGTCACTTCCGCCCCGCGCGCGAGGGGTTCCGGGTCAGCGGCCAGGCAAATGGCTTCCACCAAGAGGGTGCTGTACGTGGGTGAGTATCCGCGCGGCCGGGGCGGCGGGGCCGGGGCCGGGGCCGGGGCCGGGCGATGCCGCCGGGGCCGGCGCTGATGGGGCCGGCGCTGATGGGGCCTTCTTGGTCGCACAGGCGGGCTGGCTGAGGAGGTGGACGAGCGGGTGCTGCACGCGGCCTTCATCCCCTTCGGCGACATCACGGACATCCAGATCCCGCTGGACTACGAGACGGGTGAGGCGGATGGCCGGGCGGCGGGCAGGGCTGGGCTGGCCGCGCTCCTCGCCGTGCTCGGCGCCAGCCGCCCCTCGGTGGGTGTGCTGAGCTGCTTGGGCCTCAGAGGAGAGGCCCGGTCCCGGCTAGTACGAGGCCTCTCTGAGCACCTCCTGCCTGAGCTGGAGGCAATAGGATGATGGGGGGGGGGGTCCCTGCAGTGGGCTTAGAAGTTGCGAGCGTCATGCAGAAGACGCGAGTTTGTTTGTGGTGGTTCTGAGTCGTCGTCTCCGACTCGTTTCCCGTGAATGAAAGCCCTGCAAAATGGCCTGCTCAGCTCTTCTAAGTTCAAGGCTGTGGAATAATGGGTGATAAACAATAACCCCAAGTTCTTTTTCATTTGCAGTTTTGTTGAGTCAAGTGTTCCCGTTCTTGTAGTAGCAATGCATTTGATTTCTTGTTCCTAAGTGGGGGACTTGGCATTTGTCCCTACTGAATTTCATTTCGTTGCTCTCTGTCCAGTATTCTGATCTATCTAGATCACCAATTATGTCAGTCTTCCAGGATAGTTGCTATTCTACCTAACTTTGTGTCATCTGCAACTTTAATAATCTTTCCTTGTACTTCCTCATCTAAATCATTAATAAAAATGTTGAAGAGTACCAGTCCCAGGACGGAGCCCTGCGGCACCCCACGTGTCCCCTCTCCCCAGTTTGAGAATGTGTCATCGATGAGCGAGTCCAGTTTCGCAGCTATGGGTCCACCTAATGGTTGTACTATCTGGCCCAATCTTGCTACTTTGGTAATCAGAATGTTGTGGGGCACTTTGTTGAAGGCATTGCTAATGTCTAGTTAAATTATAGCCATGGCATATAAGGTTCATCTTTTCCCCCTTTCTTGTAGATAGCGACAACATTAGCCCTTCTCCAGTCTTCTGACACTTCTCCTGTCTTCCATTAATTCTCGAAGATGGTAGATAGTGGGATAGCTTCTCTGACACTCTCAAACCCACTCACCATGTCAAGGTGTGCATCCAAGATGTACAGTGGATGGAAATACATACCTTTAGTAAGATTAAAATGATAATGCATGAATGGGTTTCTTTCAGCAATTGCATGTTGAAGTTTGGTTATGTAGAACCTTTGGGAGCAAATAATTTTTCTCTTCAATCCCTGCAGAAAAGCATCGAGGTTTTGCTTTCATTGAATTTGAGCTGGCTGAGGTGAGTCATAACATGAGATTTTGGAATGTTACTGAATTTTCTGCCTTGATGAACTGCTGTTGGAAGGAGAGAAAGTAATCTATTAGACGGGGTGTATCAAATATGGTATTCTGGCAGCCCCTGCCTCCCCTTCCCCCTGCGCTGCTCCCAGGGTGCCCTCTTTTCCCACTCTCCAAGGCTGTCCTCTGGGAGGCAGCCAGGATGATTATTTTAGCACCAGTTGCAAAGGAGGCAGAAGGTTCTGAACACTCAGGCCCTGTTCCAGCGTCAATTTCTGACCTCAGATCTAGGAATCCAAATTATTCTGTCTGTGCCCCCCCCCACCCAATAAGGCTATCTGGGGGCCATGAGATTGCTCATTAAGCCATCCAGAGTCACGGTTCCTTCCCCCATCACTACTGACCCAATTAAATTCCTGGACAGGTAAATAGGTTTATTTTAACTGAGCAGTTTAAACTCTGGCCAGGTGTTAAAAGGCTTTATCGGCATGGACCAAAGTTACATTTCCTTTTGTGTTTAGATTATAAGCCTGCAGTCATGAAATCATCTCCTTAAAATATGTACAGAAGTTGATACTTACAGTTATAAATGAAATAGGATGACAGGACTTAATATTTATCTTGTGCTTGCAAATGTTCAAAATGTTTCACATTTCTTTTAAACCTTAAAAGAACCCTGTAAGGTTGGGTTGAAGAACATGTGGCCCTCCAGATTTTTTGGGACTGCCAACTCCCATTAACCTAGTTGCATCTTCAATAGTCAGGGATGGTGGGAGCTGTAATCCAGCAACATCTGAGGATCCATGGGGTTGCCATCCTTGCTGTAAGATCAGTCTGTATGGTGGATGGTGTAGGGACCGACTTTGCGAAAGTGGCTTGCATAAGTCCATCTAGTCAGTACCTGGCATAAGCAAGACTGTAAATGGAACTTATTCATAACTCAGTCTCTTCCCTGCTGCACATATTACTGTGGCAATGGTCTGAGAAAGCGACTGTCTCCAGTATTTCTTTCCCAAAGATCCCCTTGGAGTAACATCAATAAATTGAAGGATGCATGGTGCATTCAGCCCTAAGGAAAATGGAATTAATATATCACTTTTAGGATCATTGGTTGCAAATATTCTAATGGTCTAACTTGAAAAACTTTGTCAAGGAAATGTTGGTTTTTGACATGCAAGCTATGGTTGACCCTGGGCCCCTCTCTCCTTTGCTCCTTGTTGCACAACTTTATGTGTTTCGAGGCTGGAAGATTGCATCAAGATTTCCTAGAGCCAGAACAAATTTCCAGACAGCCCAGCATTTGATTCTTCAAGCCCTCCCATGGGTTTGTTTGCCGTCAAATTTTAAAATGTTAACAGTGGTGAGGATTAAAAGTTTGCTTTTCAGAATGGAAAGCTTAAGTTCCTGAAGACCTAGTAAGAGTCTGTGGGCTACAAGCAGCAGTACTTCAGACTGTCCATCCCATGGACAAGTGGCTTCTCCCAGTTCATCATACTGGTTGGCATGCATGTGCCAAGTGGTAGTGTACGGGGGTGAGCTAAGAGTGAAAATATCCTCTTTTTTAGGATGCTGCAGCAGCCATTGACAACATGGTAAGTTTGTCTTTAGATCTTTACCACACTTTGTGGGTAGTTTAAATGGCACCCTTTCCCCTCACTGCCCCATCCTGCCCCAGATTCCATTTTATGCAGAGGCAATATTGTTCCCCATCAGGAACAGGGCCTTTTCTGCACCAGTTCTGATGGCTGGAGATGTGTATGTAGGCTCCTTCCTGCTGGCATTCTGAAGACGTGTGCAGCATTTTTATTTCAGGGGACTTTTGAGAATTTAAGACTGAAATAGCTGCTCCTCCTTGCTGTTCATTATGACTTTGCATTTTCTCTACTGAGGGTTTTCATCTTGTTGGTTTTATAAGCAGCTGTAAAATACTTCTCTGAATAGTGGTAAAAAATGTTTAAGGGCACCAGTTTTAGGCCACTAGATGCTGTCTAGGCAGCTTTTGGGTAGGTCAGAATCCCACACTGGAAAAGAGTTCTGAGGTCAGAGCTGGGGCTCTTGGTGCAGTGTGCCCTCCCTCTGCCCTCAGTCTGGCACATTTCCTTCCATATCGACTGCAGTTCTGGAGTTGCAAGTGAGACTTTAGAGCTGGTGCTGGAGGGGCAGAGAGGAGAGGCGGGAGGCTCTGCCAGGATGTGAGCCATCCAGGGGTGTCTCAACCTCGATCCTTGCAAGCAGGGGCAAAAACAAGGACCAACATCAGCGCCTGTACCTTTTCCAGTGCAGGGGAAGAGTGGTGGCAAGGACGGAGTGCCTTCCTCCTGCACTCAGCTGGATGCCTGAAATCCTCTGATATTGGAAAGTTATGGGCAGTTGCACTGGATGACTCTAACGTAATGATAAATAAAATGCCCAGGCCTGTTTGGCATTTTCCTTCCTGTTCTGCATGAGGTAGAGTCAGACAAATGGGAGAGCCAGTGTACCGTGGAGATGAGAGTATTGGACTGGAGATCTGGGAAATCCGGGTTCTAGTCCCCATTCAGCCATGGGACTTGCTGGGTGGCTTTGCACCAGTTACAACTCTCAGCCCAACCTTCCTCACAGTGTTTTTGTTCTGCGGATAAAATGGAGAGCAGGAGAAGCTTGTCAGCTGCTTCAGGCTCCTTGCTAGAGGAAGAAAGACAGGGTATAAATGTAACATGAAAGTACAACATCGTGATGATGCTGATGATGGTGATGATGATGTTCTTTGACCAAAGAAATGGGCATCTGGTTGTGTGCCAAGGCCAGTGGCGTTCCATTTCATGTATGTGTCTTTGGGCTCCAGTGCTTGCCATGAGGGCAGCTGTGCCTTGCATGTCCTTTGGTGGATGATTTGGCCTTGATAACATGGCAAAGGTGTCTACGCTTTTGTGAGGATCAGCAACTGAGGCAGCTAATGGCTTCCTGTGGGGCCTCTGGATGGCCACCATGGGAGCTCTCCTTATGCTGCTCAAGGTTCGGTGGCATTTTGTTTTACAGAGGGCATGCATTAACTGGCATTGTTCCAATATCTTTGTGACAAGGGCAGGTGGACTGCCCAAGTGTGCAACCTGTGGTACTCTAGATGTTTTGTCTTACAGCTCCCATCAGCTCCAGCCTAGACAGTCAGCGGTGAGGAAGAATGGGAGTTGTCAGCCAAAATATCCAGGGGGCCACGAGTTGCCCACATCTGTGGTAGAATCTTGGGACAAGGCAGGAACAGAACTAATGCAGCCTTCGTAGACTATGTTAGGTGACTAGCAGTGGAACTGAGTACCCCAAACTGAGGAAGAGCCCTGTAAGATTTGAAAGCTTTAAGTACTCTTAGCTTGTAGCAGACGCTGGGAAGAAGTGTCTGGATGATGATAGTTTATAAAGCTAAAGACTGAGGGGGACTTTAATAGCAGAAGTCTTGGTTGAATGAACAAATGAATCAATTTTAGATCACCTTCATCAAGCAACAGGCTTAATTTTTGCATCTGAAAAGTCATCCCACAAAATTAGAATGTAAGTTTTGGCAAAAGAAATTGCCAGGCTGCTTAGCAGCACAAAAAAGAAGACATTGCGCGACCACTGACTGGCCAAGGCAAAATAAGCGGCTCATCTCAGAAGTCTGGCATCATACCTAGAGCATGTTCTGCCTGTTTGCAGTGCCCAGTTTGGGGTCCTTGAGTGGGTTGGTCTGAGGGGAATTTTCTTGGTAGAAACATTGCGGAAGGATAAATCAAACGGCAACACTTATAATTAGATGAGTTGTCGCTCTGTACCTCTGGAGAACTAGGGTGTGGAAGGCTAGGCTGGACTGCTGGCCTAGGACCCGTGAGATGCATCTGTGCTTGGCTGGGAAGCTCAAGTCACTGGATGACCCTGGGCCACTCAGTCTCAGCCTAACTTGCCTCACTGGTTTGTTGCAGCGATAATAAACCCATGGCTCTTTAGAGGAAGGGTGGGGCAACCTAGCCATTAATCAGTCACATTCCCCTTCCCCCCTTTAGAATGAATCCGAGCTCTTTGGGAGGACAATCCGTGTCAACCTGGCTAAACCTATGAGGATCAAGGAAGGGTCCTCCCGCCCAGGTGAGTCAGGGAACTGGGAGGGAAGGGTATCACCAGGTTTGCCTCCTGTTTCGCTTGGGAAAGCCATTCCAAATCTCATTGATTTGTATTTTAAATGGATGGAATGCAGCCATTTCTTTTGTTTGAGCACCTTCTCTCTCCCTCCAACAGTCTGGTCAGATGATGACTGGCTGAAGAAATTTTCAGGAAAGACGCTGGAAGAGAATGTAGAGGAGGAGGGGGCAGAGCCGGCCCTCGCAGAGACCCAGGAGGTAAACCGCTTGCAGAGCTTGCAGTGCTCTGCAGATTCTGTGTGGCAGGATGTGTCCCTTACCCAGAGGAAGCTCTTTTGGGAACTGCCTACTTGGAGCAGATCTACATGGGGTTGTTTCCTGGATGTTGCAGGAACTCATTTCGTCCCTCTGGTCTCGCATGAGCAGCAGGACACCCCAAGTGCACCCTGGGCAGGCTGCTTTCCCGCCAGGCAGTGCACCAGGCTTGGGGAGCCCGGGGGAGCTCGTTCTTGCTCCCAAGGCGTGCAGTGCAGCATTCGGAGACGGCGCCTGAGCCAGGAGCTGGCAAGGCCCCGTGCAGAAAGCCCTTGCCTTTACGAATCTGTTCAGCACTAATTGTGATGGTAGCAGTAGTGGCAGCAGTGATGATGGTGTCAGAGCATGTATAAGGTGGCTTGAAACGTTCCAGCCGATTCCTCCATTCAGTGTCCCGGCAAGGCAGGCCAGCTCGAGAGAGAGAGCGGCTCGCCTCACCTCCCCTGTGTGTGCAAAAGAAGCTCTTGTGCTTCCTCCTCTTTAGGGTGAGCCTCCAGCTAAGAAATCGAGGGGCAACCCCCAAGTTTACATGGACATCAGGATTGGAAATAAGCCTGCTGGTCGGCTGAACATCCTTCTGCGATCAGATATTGTACCCATGACCACCGGTAAGAGAGGACTCTTCTTGTGGGCTGTGCCTTGGATGTTAGGAGTCCCAGGCCTCCTTCGGGGAGTATTTGCTCATTTGTGTTTCTTCTGTACTGAAGCAGTCGTGGTCTTCCCAAGAAACTAAACATTCATTTATTCCTCCCAGCTTCATGCTACGGTTTGCATGCAGTTTCTAGGTGAATACTTGTTTTTATTCCACCCTTTCCCCAAAGCAATCAGGATGGTGTACTTGTTCCCCCACTCCAACTTCTCCCTGCAGCAATCGTATTGAGGTAGCTTAGTCCAAGAGGTGGTGAATAACGGGTGCGTGCAGGAGGGACGGGGGTCCTCGTCTTCCTGCTACTGGTCCAGCGTTCTGTCTGCTGGCTGGGACCAGCAATAGGTCTGCCCACCTAGACGAAAACAGAAGATTCTGCCCTCCAAATGAGCTTGCCACTCGCCTTCGTTCACGAGCGACTGGCTATCTCCATTTGCGTGTCGGGAAAAGGCAGCTGCAGAATTCGTGCGCCAGGGCGGGCGTGGCTGCCCGGGCAGATGTGTTCCTGCATATCTGTTGTTTCAGGGGAGTCTAGGGCGTCAGTGGGGAACCACTGAGCTGGGCGCAGAGGCCCAGCCAAGGGCGGAACAGCTGCGTTGCAGCGGGGCGGGGGCTCCGCAGGCTGCACAGAGAGTGGCTCAGCTCGCGCAGCCCACATGATGCAGGTTGCTCGCGTAGGCTGTGCTGGGTGGCGCTGAGGCTGCTGCTGTGCATATATTTATCAATATATTGGATACTGTGGTTTTACTTTCAGATTGCAGTGGCCTTTTACTTTAAGCAACTGAGTTATTTTTTTTAAGTACGTAGAATTGCCCCAGAAATGAGTGTGGCAGAATTATCAGTATGGTGTAACTAATAAACATTATTCCTGCAACTAATATATTATCTCACTTAATGCTACAGAGGGTTTAATTACTATTTTTAAATCCATTCATTGCCCATATTTCTATATCACCTTTCAGAGTCAAAGCACTTCCAGAACAGCTTATGTACAAAGTTAAAATTCAAACGTGAACAGCAGATAAAATCAGTTTAGTATGATTGTAAAACTAAAGCAGTAGTCCTAACTTTCCTTGCTATAGTCCTGTAGAATAACACCAGTTAAAATAAATGAAGACAGAAGGAGTATAAAAAATAAAAGAACGGTCAGAGCACTTTTGTTGAAAGCATAATAAAACCAATGGGTTTTCAAGGCCTGTTTAAAAGCTGGAAATGAAGCGTGCCGTCTGTGCAGGCAAGCGCTAGTGTCCCTGCCTCAGCTGAGTGTTTCTGCTTTCTTGATTTCTTCCCTTCCCTTCTCCTGAATGCAGAGAACTTCCGCTGTCTGTGCACACATGAAAAGGGCTTTGGGTTCAAAGGAAGCAGCTTCCACCGCATCATCCCCCAGTTCATGTGCCAAGCTGGAGATTTTACCAACCACAATGGCACCGGGGGGAAATCGATCTACGGGAAGAGATTTGATGACGAAAACTTCATCCTGAAACATACAGGGCCAGGTCAGTAGTTGCCAGGGCTGCTGGCTCTAGGAGGGATTGTGAGCCACCATCTATTCTCGGGTGGGGCTGGTGATCTGGGCAGGCCAGGCAGTTGAGAGTTGGCACTCAGGCAGCTGGTGGGAGCTGTCCTGGTGAGGTCGTGTGCCAACCCCGCTGGATGCTGGCGCAGGAACTTCTTGGGCACCAGCCCATTTGCATAGTTTCTTCCCTCCATCCCTCACTGGCCACATCGCCACCTCTGTCGCTGCCCTCCAGCACCTCAGGCTCAAAGCGACCTCCGCCTGGACCTGGTTCTGCAAGAGGCAGGCCAGGTTTCTTCCCTTACTCTGAGTGTGTCTCATATGAAATTTCAAGTTTCCGGGCCACACAGCCCTGAAGGAAGCAAGAGCAGAAGGGCCCGTACGGACTGCTAGGAGGAGCGCAGGCACTTGCCCTAAGTAGAAGTCCTTGCGGTGCTCTCTGTTCTAAGGCGAAGACAGAGCTCCCTCTGACCCGGGTCTGCTTGCAAGCAGAGGCGTGGAGGCTGTTCCCCGACCACTGAGCAGTCTCTCTCCAGCTCTGTTTTCCTTTTTTTTTTAATAAGTTTTATTTGAAATTATAATCCTAAAAGAAACAAAAAAGCTACAAACGACATCCATCATCAAAAACATCGAGCCTGCTGGGTCAGCCCCCACACCCTTCTTTTTCCATTTATGAAAACTTTAAAAACATATTTAAATCTATGCGAAGTCCCATTTCTCTAGCCAATTAAAAAAAAAGTCCCAAGTTTGATAGAAGTCAATATCTTCCTTCTCCTTCAATAATAAAGTCAATCTATCCATTTCTGCACAGTCCAGGATCTTTTTTAAAATCAGTTCATCAGTGGGTAGTTCTTCACTTTTCCAGGGTTGAGCGAATGCAATCCTCGCCACAGTAATTACATGTAAAATCAAGTACATTTCTTGTTTACTAATATCAACAGGTATAATGCCTAATAAGAAAACTTCAGGTTTAAAAGCTAAGGATTTTTGTTACATTTCCTTGAGCCATTTATGTATTTTAATCCAATACTTTTTCACGTTATCGCAAGTCCACCACATATGATAAAAAGTACCCGATTTATGTTTACATTTCCAACATCCATTTGACATATTTGGAAACATCTTAGCTAATCTATTTGGTGACAGATACCTTCTATAAAACATTTTATACACGTTTTCTTTATACAAAGTTGCTAATGTTACCTTAATATTTCTCTCCCACAGCTTTTGCCACTTTTCTAATTCAATATTGTATCCAAAATTTTGTGCCCACGTTATCATAGTTTCCTTAACCTGTTCGTCTTCCATTTTCCTATTGAGTAAGAAGTCATATAATCTTTTAATCATTTTCTCATCTGATTTAAGCATCACTTGATCAAACACTGTTAAATTCTTATAAAAACCCCACGCTTTACAATCTTTAGCATATCTCGATTGTATCTGCACCTTATGCCCCCAAGAGATATTCGATCCCTAGCTCTCTTTTCCCAAGAAGGGGAAGGCGTGGCGCGAAGGGGGCCGCCCTGAAAGGAGCGCCTGACGCAGTGCGTGCTTGTCTTGATAGGCTTGTTGTCGATGGCCAATTCCGGCCCCAACACCAATGGCTCTCAGTTCTTCATCTGTTTTGATAAGACGGACTGGCTGGATGGGAAGCACGTGGTATTTGGAGAGGTCACAGAAGGGATGGACGTGGTGCGACAGATTGAGGTAAGCTGGCTCCGGAAAGCAACACTGCTGGGTGTCTCCTCAGAGGCTTGCTGGCCTGACTGTGTCTCCTCTCCTTTTCCATGAAGGCTCAAGGAAGCAAAGATGGGAAGCCAAAGCAGAAAATCATTATCTCGGACTGTGGTGAATATGTATGAATGTTTTGTACAAACCAGAGCTTCTTGGACATGCAAGACAAGAAGTATATCGCCTCTCAGTCTGGATGATAAAGAACTGCCTTGGAGCACTGAGCCCTTCACAAAGATGCATTCAGAAACAAAGGCTTTTATATATTCTCCGTGCTCAGAACTACTGAGTTTTTACAAGTTTATTTTGTAAATTTTCTTCTAGATTTCCCCCCCTGTAAAATTATAGCTGTCTTTTTTACAGTTTCATTTCTTCTGGCTACTTCTAAGTGCTCGTTTTTCTTGTGTGTGTAAATATAATTGTGTGTGGGTTTTTTTTTTTTTTTGGTTTTTTTTGCTTGTTCTGCTAATCTAGCATGCGCTGTGCCAATAATAATTTCAGTACATTGAGGCATGTAGCCTTGATTTATTGAAACAAGCCACATTCAAACGGTAGCTAATGATCCTGGTTTGTTTCAACCAAAAACAGTTCATGGCCAGGGTTCACACAGTCATAGAGGGAAAACGTGCCCCTGTGTGTGTCGCCCACCAGCTTCCTAATTAGCATAATTACCCTTGCTGGGGGCATTTCGTTGTGACACCCTAGAAGAAGCAATAAGTTTTAGCATGGCTTTTAAACCGCCCTTGCCAGGTTCAGAAGCCACAGGAGCCCCTGCCCACTGTGGCATGTTTTCCTTGCACGGTGTGTGAGCCCGAGCACTGACCGCATGCCTTGGTTCGGACATAGCGGGCTGGCTTCTTGAGAACAGAACGCACCGCTGCGCTGGAGGGCAGGAAGGGGCAGGGCTGAGGCTTGCACAGGTTGTGCCCAGTGTGGCTTAGCGTCTTGTGCAAACCAGGTCATGTCGGAGCATGACGGCAGCGGGACCAGCTGCCTGGAGAAGTGGCAGGCGCTCTCACACCAGAGGCGTTCAAGGCGGAAGTGGGCAGCCCTCTGAGTAGGGTGGTGTGACTTAGTGCCCTGCAGCAGGAGGAGGCTGGGCCCGATGGCCTTCCTGGCCCCTTCCAACTCTGCTCTTCTGTGATTCTATGGAGCAAACCAGGGTTTTGCATCCTGATTTCTGGCCCATCCTTAATTGTCGCTTCAGCATTAGGGTCTCCATGGTTAAGTGTTCCGTTTTGATAGGGAACCCCCTGCTGGCTATGCTTGCTGCCTGTGTGAACTCATCTGTAGTGTCAGTTAAATGTCTTTGGGCATGAGGAGAGAGATGTTCGAGGGCTTGTTTTCTGCCCCACCAAGTGCAAATCATTCCCAACAAACTCCCAGCGGTGAACTGCCCTGACTTCGATCCTTTTTCCCAAGTATTGATGAAATCCTACCAAGAGCAGGGATGAAAATTGGAGTAAGCAGAGTGTGCCCTGTTTCCTCTTTTTCAAAAAGTGATCCTGGCGTAAATGCATAATAATACCCCATGGAGAAGCCGACAGGACAAATGAGAGGGAAGACTGCCTTTTTCATGCATGAAATTATGTTCATCAAAGAGAAAGGCAAAAAGAAGAGAGAGAGAGTGGTGCTGACCTCCTTTCCAGCTTAATCAGATGGCTGAAGATGAGCCCGTGTGTCCAAGGCAGCCCAGCGCCTCTGCTGAGCCGCTCCGGGAGGGCTGCTTGTGGGTTGCAGGGGCAATCGCACCCGGGAGCAGTGCCTGACTCAAGTGGGCCATTGGCCCGTCGCAGGAGGGCCTGGCCTGGCCTTGTGGGGCCTGGCTCAGTGGAGGTTTTGATGGAGGGGCCAAGCTGAGGACACATCTCCCCGGGAACGGGTGGTACACCTGGGCGTGCGATTTTGAGAAAGGTAAGGAACTGGCTGTTCCGGTACACCAAAGGAGCACGGGAACTCCCCCACCCCCAGAACTGGCAATGCAAGGATTCCGTGAAAGCGCCCTGGCCTGCAGAGGGATTTTGGTGTGGGGGGAGCGGCGTCTCTTCTGCTCAGGGAGATGCCCTGGGTCGCTTCAGACAAATGTGCAATTATTTTGAGTCAAGTGTGCCTGTTGCAAAATGTCTCCTTCCTCTTCTGCAGGAGGAAGAGCGAGCACCTGCTTGCTGGAGCCATGCGAAGCACAGGGGTCAGGAAAGCCGGTTACAGAGGAGGGCGTGTTTGGGTTTAGAGGCAGACGGTGCTCCTGTGGCGAACCCCAGAGCGCAGCCTGCAACCCCCCCTGGGCTTGTGCTTAAGCTGCGTTCTACTGAACATAAGCAGAGGAAGGGTGGCAACGAGGGGGTGGGTGGCGCCGGAGCGCCCTTGGCTTGTCCCTGCCTCAAGCTGGCCAGCAGGCAGTGTGTTGAGAAATGACCGGGGGGGGGGGGGGGGGGGGGGGGGGGGAGAGGGGGGGGGGGGGGGGGGGGGACTGTGGCCGTGGCAAACGGGTTTGCAAGTGGTCCAGGTTGCAGAGAGCGTGCCACCTGGGCACTCGGTGGGGCAGCTGCCCAAGGGGGCGCCGCACGCGAGCTCGGCAGAGGCGGCCAGCCATTCTGGCATTCCTTTCAAGCCGCTCGCTTGCCGCTTCTGGGCTCGGGTGCCCGGCTCTGGAGAGCTCAGCCCAGGCAGGTTCAGTAAGCAAATCACAGAAAATGGCCCGCTTGGACATAACATGGCAGCCTGCCACGACTAGTCGGTAAGCCTGGAAATCACTGGAGCTGCCTGGGGGCTCCGGCAGTTTCTCGGGAAGGCAGGGCAGTCTGAGGCTGGCGTCATTCCTGGGCTCAAGGCGTTGCACCAAGTGCCAGAAGAAATTAGTTGCCCTTGGGCTGTGACCTGTCATGTCCAGAGCCGTAGGGGCCCAGACTGGCTTGGCATGCTTCCAAGAGGCCAGTCACACTCACGTGAAACATCCAGATGGAGAAAGGTCTGCAGTCATCAAACTTCAGGGTGGCCCACAGTCCATCCCTTCACGTGGTGCCAAAGCAGCTGCCCACAGGATCCCCCAAGCAGGGTGGGTGCAAGCCCTCCGCCCGCCCAGCTCCTCAGCACCTAGTGTGTGCAGGCGGGCCACTTCTGCTGAAGGAGGGAGCACACGGCCTGCAAGCTGGTAGCCGCTGGTAACCTCTCCAGACTCATTGGCATTGTCAGGGTGAGCATTTCTGTCTGGATTTCCTCACTTCACTGGATGCTGCTGCAGAGCAGCCCTTTCAAGAACAGAAAATTCTGGAAGGGAATGAGAATGCACAAGCCACTTTTCCTTGTGAGGCTTTTGGAGCCGGAGCACAAGGTGCAACAGGGAGCTTATGGGGCTGGCTTTGGGGGCTTGCATGTTGTTTCACAGCTATTGCAACTGCAATAAATACATACAGAAGCAAGATTAATACTTTTGAGTTTATTGCTTAAACTGTTCATCTTTCCAGAACTGATGTATATCATTCCATTTAAGTGTGTTATACATCATCATGACTTGGATAATTTTAGAAGTTGAAATCTGAGTTTTGAAATGAGCCTTGGGGGGCTGCTACTCCTTTTAATGTTCCAGCCTTTTGTTCCTTATGATACAAGGTATCTTGCCTGTCATGTTTTCAGCCTCCAGGATCATGTGAGCTTACCAGGGTCTGTCTGAACAAACCCACAATGTGATGGAGAAACCCGAATGGCCTTGAACGGACTGCAAAAGCTGCACCAAAGCACCATGCAGGTGCATTGAAAGTAATGCTCTTGAGCAGGTAAGCCTGTTAGAAGCAGAGCACAATCCCTGGCGAGTTCCTGGCACCACAGGGTGCCTTTTTAATGATGGTGGCAGTGCTCAGGCCCTCAGTGGAGACTGTGCCATGGGTAAGCCTCCCCCATGAGGCTTGCATGCTGACATAAGCGCTGTTGCAGGCATCGTGCCGCTGCAGACACAGGTGGCCAGCGTCCCCTGGGCAGGCAGCTGTGACCCATCGCAGCTCCTGGGTGAGCATCGGCTCGCTCGGTAGCTGTGCCACACGCAGGCATCCCATTAACTCGGTAGCACAGCCTGCTGCTTCGTGAGAAAATCTGGAGGTAATATACACTGTGGCATGCAAGAGCAAAGCTGCACATCAAGTCTTTGAATGGACCGAGTTGCTGGTGCCCCACCTCATGGTACCTTCAGCCACGCTACTTAAACGAATGTATTTACTCTGCCCAAGAAAGGGTCGTCCAGCTGTTGCTCCTTGCTGTGTTGCTGCTCAGCCAGACTCGTTTGCACAGAAGCTCAGGATTCTGGGAGTAGCAGGCACTAAAAGGGGCACAGTTTTCACCAACACAGCTGAACAAGGCTGGCTGATGGGCAGAGGCGCCCGGGAAAGGATCCTGGGGGGGGGGGGTCCCTCCCCAGTTTTCCTTCCCCCAAGCAGCTGAGCTGAGTGAGACTTGGTCCTCACAAAATCTTGGTTGTGTTGGGGATGAACTAGAGCAAACTTGTGCAAAAGAAGCCCCTCGATTTGCCTGGGTTTACATTTAATCTACATTTTATAGAGCGGGATCCAGGAGTGGCACAGCAAACAGAGCCGGCCTGTCTGTGCAGCCAGGCCAGGCTTAATTTCCTTGGCAAAGCGTCAGCTGTGGGACTGTCCAGCTTGCTTGGATATGAACACCCCCAACCTCCAGCCAAGCCCAGGGCAGGGGTGCTGCCGGCCATGTCAGTCCACGATCAGGCAAAGCAGTCACGAGGTTCTTCGGTCCTCCAGGACACGCAGCTTCCCGGACGGGGCTCTCACAGCCCCTGTTGCCCGCCTCTGCGCCAGCCCCTCTGGCCACCCCCTGTGCTCTCTGACCCGGCGGCAACCAGATGCCCACGGGCCTTCAGTGGCAGCCACACGTTTTCACCACCATGTTGCGGTGCTTCTTGAGGATGACGTTGTTGTTGCTGTCATAGTAGAGCACGGAGGTGGCACTGAGCTTGGTGGGGGCACAGCAGGCCTTGGGGGCCGCTTCCGGCTTCATCAGGTGGACCTGCCGGGAGAGGCGGGAGACTGCATGAGAACACGGCCCTCCGGCAGCACTCTGCCTCTGCTGCGTCGCTTGGCGGCCCCACAGGTGAAGTGCACCTGCATCACCTCCCCCACAGCCCATCTTCAGGTAGGGAAACACAGCGCTTCAAAGGCATATTTAGTTATATGGCAAACGTGCATCATTTCAGTGAGTACATTATTGGTTAGGGCTAGCAAAAATATTTATCTGAAAATGGCTGCCCGCTCGAGTTGCCATTTCCGTTGGCAGCTCTTTCACAGCCCCATCTCTGGAAGGCCAGGACTGACGGGTCGGGATTGGGGTGTCTTCGCATGCCCTTCCAGTGCCGAGCAAGGCGGGCCCAATAGGTGCCTGTGAGAGGGGCTGACAGCAGTGTCCCCCGCCCAGCGAGCGTGGCACTGCCGGGCCAGGCCCCCCTGGTCAGGCCCATGGGGGGGGGGGGCACCCTGATTGCAGCCGGGGCCGTGTGGGTGGGTCGGAGCACACCACCTGCGGCTCGTGTGGCCACCCCTCCGAGCGATCATCCCTGTGCCTGTGGCTGCCCCACGTTCCCCAGAGACGGGGCGCCCTCGTGCCAGGGGAGGCAGTGGGCATGCGTGGGGAAGGCGCCTGTCACTGGGCCCACACAGCTGGCGCTGCAGGCCCAGCTCCTGCCAACCCCCGCTTGGGCCCGTCCCCTTACACAGAGTTGCAAAGGCGCTGCTGATGCAGGCGGGCACTGCAGCTGCCACGGGTGTCCTGGGCAGGGCCAGCGTGGAAAGGTGCCCACCGCCTCACCCTGCCTGAAGATAAGATGTGTTTTGAGGTGCGAACTGGAGCAACTTAAGCCCCCGCAAATGTCTTAGTCTTGAACTGCTGCAAAACTGCATCACTTCACTGCATTGCAGTCTTGCCTTTAGCTAAAGCACTGCATAAAATACCAACGTGTTGGAAAAGGTTCTTGGGCTTGCATATTATGCTTACTCCCTCCACAAGCAGGTAGCCAATTCTCTCAATGGGCCTCTACTATTATTGCAGCAAATAGTTACTTCTCGAAGCAGCTCCCTAGCACTTTTGCGTGTCTTCCCAAAAAGGGGCGCTTGTCAGATGAGGATCCAGGGCTGCACAAACACACCCGCATCCTGCTGTTGCCTTGACCCACAGACCCTCTTAGGAGCAGGATCCCAAACTGATGGCGCAAAACCCATCTGAGGAGCCCCGCCCGGCCCACTGCAGGCGGTTGTCTCCACAGTGTGGTGAACCCCTTCGCAGTCTCCCCGCAAGACTGACCAGAGACTGCAGGATGGCGTGGTTGGTGGCATTCATGCAGGAATCCAAGGGGAAGGCGCACTCTCCTTCGCAATAGAACGCCGAGTAGCCCTGGGGGGCAATCACCCAGTCCTGAAAGGGCAAAGGGAGGGGGGCTGAGAGGGGCCCGGGGCCCGCAGCTTCTTTGGCCACACCAGGCCCCACTCATGGCCTGGCCGGAAATCCGTCCCACTGCCGGGCCTCCAAGCAAGTAGCTGAGGCTGCCCGCCCGCAGCCTGTCCCACCCTCCGCTTGTGGGAGACGCCCCTGGGAAAAGGCTGGGCCACGCCAAGGCCTGGGTAGTCTGTGCAGGGTGCACCCCTTGAGACGGGGCTCTGCGCCACCCTCCCGGCACACACCCGGCCGTGTGAATATTCCTGTTTCCACATTTAGTGTTGCCGGGAAGCCAGAAGGGATAGTTTGTGGAGGACTTACCAGCCATCCAAGGTCCTGGAAACTGACATAAAGCTCGTGCCTTCTGCACACCTGCCTCCCTTCGGGAACGCGGCCGTCATCTGAGGAAATGAAAAAGGGCCCATGTGGGAAGGGGGGACCCGTGACCTCTGAAGCCAAAGGCAATGCGCACAGCCTGAGGGCCACCCAGGCACGCACCGGAGTGCGTCTCTAAAACCAAGCAGCCGGTGTCCTGTGAACAGCGTGTTCCAGAGGTGGGGAGGGGCTGGGGGAACCCCTAAATCTGCCTTGGTGCCCACCCGCTGACGCACTGGCCACAGCCTTCCAGCGGCTGCAGAATGCAGCACCTACCTACCGGTGACCGGCTGAGTTAGACGGGCTGACAACCCGCCCTGCAAATGAGGCAACAGGGCAGGCTGCTTGTGAAACTTCCCGGGGACATTCGACCGAGCACTGGGCTCTCTGTGGGTCGTCTCCCCTCCCCTCTGCACTTCGTCATGCCTGCATGGGTCCCCGCCAAAACACCACTGAGGGCCGGGCCGAAAAGACCTTAAAAAGGGAACTGGAGGTCTGGCATGTAGCCGATCCTCTGCGCACCCCTGAAAGCAGAGTGGCTCACGCCTGACCACCGGGCCAGGCACCTGGAATCCTGCGAGGCAACCCTGCCCAGAACCAGGTCCAAAAGGCCTCGCAGAAGAGTGTGGACCAGTGGCCACCCTCTTTTCACGAATGAAAGGCACAACTTAGGCTTCCCTGGACAGGCTGGCTTTCGACAGCTATCAAGGGAAGCCAAAGGAAGAAAATGAAGCTTTTGGCAGCTTCTCTAGGTCAACGCTCCTGAGGAGCCCCCACTGCACTTCGGCATTCCCAGGAGAGGTCCACCTTGTGGGGATCACAGAAGTGCGCGCTTGAGCAGGTGTGGCTCAGAGGAAAATGTGGAACAGAATGCATATTTTGGGTGCACTATGTTTTAAACAGGGGCACCCCCTCCAGGGTGCCGCTTGAGTAATTTCAAGGGGCAGTCGCTGCCTGTCAAACTGGAGATTGTGAAAAGAACTCTCCAAACAAACGGGTGAAGGAGGGCTGCAGGGAGCACAGAAGGTTGAGTGATGGGGGGGGGGGCAGAGCAGCATGGGGCCAGTAATGGGGAGCACAGGGCTCACCCCTTCTCTTCACCATGTGGGTCTAGCTGGCAGGCCAGTCCATTGTGGGTGAAATGATCCCCAGCACACGCCACGGGCTGTCAGGGTGCCTTCCTCCCCATACTGAACCGCCATGTGGAAAACAGTCCGGATCTGTGCGGTGCAACCGATGCGGAGTTGTCACATCACACAAACCCGGTCTATGGGCTCAGCAGGAAATGCTTCTTGCGGCCCGTGGGCACCTGTCCTTCCATGTGCTCCTGCGGCTGCCCCCACCGGCCCCTTACCGAATGACCCCGGGAGCCTGTTTGCGTGGGAGGGGTGCTTCGTCTTCTGGTGCTGCCTCTTCCTCAGCTGTCTGGCTGCTCGCGGGGTCCTGGACTGGCTTGGGCTGGCCCGGAAAAATGTCACCACAAAGGGCTGCTTGGAGCGTGGTCCGTGGCGGCCCAGGAAGCCTGCTAGTCCAGGATCGATGCTCTGCCCTGTAAAATCCCAAACCCACATCCTTTTTGCATGTGAATGCTGCTGTTGGTCAGGTGAACAGGCATGGCTGCCGAGTTTGGGGGCCATGACTGACTGCACCTCCCCACAGCCCGTGAGTCAGCAGGACCTTCCAGGCAAGGTCTTGATCACTCTCCCCCTCCTTCCACAGGAGTCCCGAAGTCGGCTTGCACCCTCAACCCTCCTGTGTTCTTCCACCGTGCCTTCTGTCGTTCTTGCCATGGCAGGAAATCCATTAGGAAGGGGAGGACTGAGGCGTGGCAAGACGCCCTGGGAACGGCCCTGCCGCACGAACGCTCTGCCTTGACGCACGTGCCCAGCGGCTCGGCTCTGCTGGTTCCCCCTCTTGCAGCAGAAGCCGCCTGCCGCTGGAAGGGACAAAATCCCCCTCAGCCGGCTGAAAGTGAGCTGCGAGGGGCAGAGAACTTTCCTTCAGGCTTCATTTCAAAGGAAAATTGAGGCACCATTGCTGCTTCCTCCTCCTCCTCTCTTCCTTCTGACAGGATTTGTGACTATTTTTCCTCACTCACCTGGCAAAACACTGTGGTTGGTTTGGGGGCTACAGAACTTTAATCAGAAGCTTCCTCCTTGCAGCCTCTGCCCTTCTAATTGCTGCTTCTTTAGTGGCATTATGAAATTGCCCCTTCCTTAGTTCCCCTTTTTGTTGAAGAGGCTCTTTCCCATCACTATTACCCCACTTTTAATTATAAAATAGCACCAGTGTGTAATTTTAAAATTAACAAACAGAAACTAGTAATTTAATCCTGACAAGAACTAACAACCAGATTTCTGTAAAATTCTGTGCTGAATAGCAAGCAATAAGAGGCAAAACTATAAGAAGAAAGCTTCTGGTTCATGTAGCAGAGGTCCATGTTGATTGGATTAATAAATGAGTTGATAAGAAAAGTTACTTTTGAATTAATAATATAGATTTTGTCAACTGGAATGATATAATGTAGACGGATTTGTGGAGCCACTTTTTCTGCAGAAAAACAGCAGCGCAAAGGTAGCAACCTGAACTCTGCAAAACCTCACGTTCTACGTTGTTATATGCACTACCTGATTGAGCTTGTATCTTACTTTGTGCTATCAGCAGCACAACTTGAACCTTGAAACAGGATCCCCAAGAGAAAGGTGGCCAAAAATGGCACATCGACCTTACCATCTTCTGTCTCCACATAAAGTCTCAAACCCAAGTTGTATCTGCGGTTCAACAGCCAGTGGTTGCTGGCAGCTGAGATATCAAACACCAGCCAGCCCTCCGCTTGGGCTTGGAAGTCCTGGAGATCCAAGAAGAGCAGCTCTGACTCCCTGGAGCAGCAGAAAAGGCAGCGTGAGTGCGGCTGGCTGAAACGAAACTTCTGGAGTGCCAGTTTGTCTTTCTCCAGCCCACAAAAAGCAGATCAGAGGCACATGCTTCCCTCTGGGCCAAGTGTGTGAGTGGGCCAACCTTTGCTGAGCACAGGTGTTTTCGTTAAACAAGCAAGCCTTGCATGCTTAATGAAAACGCCACATCAAGGTTGACCTGGGGGTGGCCCAGGGAGGGGTACGGGCAACCCAAGGGTCATGGGACACTTGCATTTTAGGGCATCCATAAAGCAGCTTCCATGACCCCATCGATGCTCTTGTGCAAAATCCAAGGCTGAAGATGTCTGAGTTTTTTTGCACTTAAGCACAGAGGACCTCCCCACATTATGCAGGTTTTGCGATGGGTTTCTGCAGCAGTTGCCACTTGTTCCCTGCAACTTTCTTTTTCTCTGGCTCTACTGATACACGACACGCATGCCCTGGTGCATCCTATGAGCTTTTAAAAAACCACTCCCCATATTTTATGCGGCATTATTGTGTTGCGCAAACATTTTGGCATCTAGAACTTTTATGGCTTAAAATAACTGAAATCACAGGAGAAAATGGGACAAACCCATCCGAGGCTCCTCCTGCACATTTCACTAGCAAGGGTGGAAGCTGCCCGAGGGTGTGTCCCCGGATGGCGTGCTAATGCATGTGCAGCCGTTCCCCTTGGTGACCGTTGCAGCCAGTTGCAGCGAAAGCCCTGCACGTCAAGGCAAGAGGCTTGTCTTACCGCACCTGTTGCGGTGTTCTTGCACGATCTCGTGGATGCTGATGTGAAGGGTTTGGTTGCCATGCCAGCTGAAGCTCTGCATCTTGTAAATTCGGAATTCAGCTGCTGTTACTGCCTCCTCCGCTGGGATCGGGGTCAAGTCAAATCGGAACTCTTTCCAGTAAGGCTTCGGGTGGAAGAGATCTCTGTCCAGCTCCACTGAAAAGGATGGGTGCACAGCAGCAGAGTCATCCGCTTGCGTGGGCATCGGCAATCTGTGTTCTCTACCCTCAAACGAGCAGAGCGGAACATCTCTCTCTGTAGTTCCTCAACACACTTCTCATGTGCTTAAATGTGCAAGACTGAATAGTTCAATCAGCATCTACGCGGCACATCACAGGAATAATTTGGGCCAAACGGCGAGACCCGATCATAAGGCGCCTGCAGCTGCAATATGGAGCAAGGAATGCGTGATGCAAGCAAATGCGCTTGCTCTCAAACCTGGACCCTGAAAGCAGCTTCTCACATCCTGTATGCCAGGCCCTTGGCTACAGGGTGACGCAGAGGTGACGATGACATAGAAACAGAGCGAGTCAGAAGGGGTCTCCCGGGCCATCTAGTCTGACCCCCGCACCAGCCGACTCCGCTCACGACATGCCCACCATGTGGACGTCCGGCCTGTCCTTGAATACCCGCACCGATGGGGCCTCAACGACCTCTGGTTGACTCTCTGTGATGAATGACATCACAGAGCGGCCAAGACGGCCACCATCCTGCAAAGCAGCAAGGCGTGGGGTGGCAGCAGTTGCCCGGCCCCGCCTGGGGGCTCCCCGAGCCAAAGAAGGAGCACAGCAGCGGGTCCCCAGTGATGCGGCCAGGCCAGGCCCCTTCCCCCGTGGCTCCCAGAGGCATTCTTGGGAAAGGGTGGATGCAGCACTGCGCTCTGCTCCCAGCCTTGCCCAAAGGCCCATGAAGCCAGGGTGCCTGCGGCACTTCTGCACTGGGGGCCGAGGGAGCCCGCACCCTTCGCAGCAGTGCCCCCGAGGCCAGGGGGCAATCCCAGGCCTGCTGCCAGCCTGGAGGGCCCACCTGCTTCCTGAGGACAGCTCGTGCCCCCCTGCCACCTGCTGCAGGGCCAGCTCCCCCTGCACACAATCACCGGAAGGCCCCCCAGAGGGGTGGCTCCACCGTGCTCCTGCGCTCAGGGGGCCCTTGATCTGCCTTCCGAGGAGGAGCCGCTGGCCGAACAGCAGTTGCTTTAGCATTTTAAGGTAAAGAGCAGTGGAAAAGCTTAATAGCTGAGTGGTACAAACGCATCTGAAATAAAGGTAGACACAGCCTCTGAAGAGGTCGGGACAAATTGCGTCTTCGTCTGGTGGGTGGATGGAGACAAGCTTCCTGTCCTTGGCCTCAGGGGTCCAAAGGGTTCTGGTGCTTATGCTAGAGCGGAAGACCAGCACCTGCTCCAGAACCAGAACTAATTCCAGTCTGAGCAGGGGGTGGGTGGGATATCAGGTGAGAGGGAAAGGCACTCCACCCATGCTCACGCGCACACTTGCTAGGGCTGACTCAGCTGCAGCCCTCCTTTGGTTCCCAGCAATGCCCCAAGCCCTGCCCGCCTCCTCCTGAGGAAGAGGGAGAGTTTCTCACCTGGGGGATTGCAAAGGGTGGTCATTAGAGACTGCTGGAGCTGGAAACCAAACCAAGCCCTGTTTGTGGGATTCGGGGAGCTGAAGGCAGCTGCTCCTTTGCCTGGGGCACCCTATAATGATGGGGTGGGGGTGGAGCTTTTCTGGGAAACCGCTCTGGACAAGATGCTCCTGGCTAAGGTGGAGAGGGGCTCCGGCAGAGAATGCAACCCCCGCCCTTCTCATTGGTGATCTCAGGCCAAATTTGACCATGCACTTTTTTTGGTTGGGGGGGGGGGGGGGGGGGGGCTGCACAAGCAAGGACTCTCCCAGTTCTATGTGAAGCCCACACTTTTATACTGCCGCCACCAACTTTATAAAAAACATGCATGGTTACACTTGGTAGCATCTCTTGAAATTATTTATAATGAGGCTAGTTCAGGAAATAATTGCAGATCCTACCCAACCCACACGCTTCGTTTCACCTGGATCTTGCATTCCTTTCCGAAGTGGGAGGCTGGCTAAGGCATGCTTGCACACCTATGCCTCAAGCACAGGTAAGGCTCTGGAACATTCACGGTCAGCAGCCGCTGCCTGCCCGGGCGACCGCCAGGAGCACAGGGTAGGTGGCCAGTGCAGCCAGATACATTCCCTGCCCACTCCTGATTTGTGGGGATGGGTTTGTAGGGTGCGCACTGCATGCAAAGCGCTCACCAGCCACCTGAGCTTGCCCATCACCACATGTACACTAAGAATGCTGCCTAGAACATCCCTGACATGCCCGGGTGGTTGTGCTCAACTTGGATCCTGTGATGTCTTTGCCCGAAAGGGCTTGGCCGCGCTTCTTCCGTGGCTCTGCATTCCTGGGACCTCCGGTGGCAGCGGGCACAGGACCCCCGGGAGGGGAGGGGACTGCTGGTTTGATCTGGAATGCTCCCTCTCAAATCTACAGGGGGGCGGTTGGAAGGTGCTTTCTCCACAGGGCCTGGGGATCTCTGCTTTGTCTCCGCTCCGTAGCTACGGCTTTTTAGCCTATATTTATTCGTTCCAGTTATTCCAGCTTTTATAGTTATTCTGATCCTCGTTTGTTTGACCAGATGTACACTGCTTTGCCTACGTTTCTTCTCCAGAAGAGCAGGAGAGGTCTTGCTCTCACAGCGGGTGGGTGGTGGCTGCTTTGAAGGCCCAGCCCGGCGCACGAGCATGTACTGCACTGGGCACCGCCAGCTCGGTGGCGCACAAAGGCCGAGAGAGCCCTTCTGGGGAAGAGTGTGCCTTCACTCCACTTCTCGAGGGCAAGGAAGGGAGCGGCAATCGAAGGTGACCTCCGTGGTGCTCTCAGTGTCTCTGTGGGGAAGGAACTGTCAGCATTCTGAGTCCCAAGCTGATGCCTGAGCTGCATCTCCCTGCACCGGCACTCAACCTGAGAGGCTCCTTGCCAAAGGAAACGGCGCCCAGGCAGGTCCCTGGAGCTTCTCACCACCCTGGCTACAGATGGGCACTCTTTCAGGAAAGCTTGACAAAGTCTGAGGATGCCCAGGAGCTGCCCTGCAGAAGCTTCAACTGAGGGGACGAGGCACCGGCCAAGGAGGGACGGTGGTGTCGCGGCAGAACCCTTCACCTGGCAAGGAGGGGCCACCTCCTATTGCGGCCTTCTCTGGATGAGTCCCACCGTTAAACTGAGGCTGGGCCAGGAGCTCCTGGGGGTGGTAAGCGCAGACGGCGTGTCCTTTCCATACTGCGCAAGGACCGGCAGCGCCCGGACACCAAGCTTGCGCAGCCCAGAGAGCGCATGGCAGTCACAGATTAAGACTTGAGTCACTGCGTCTGTTTCACTTGCTAATCAAGTAATATACAGGAAAAATCCTCAAACCAATAATGAAACTGAGATGGTCTGCAGCTATAGAAGAGTGGGCGTGTCGTGAGTGCCGGAGGTCAGACTAGATGGCCTGGGAGGCCCCTTCTGACTCGCTCTGTTTCTATGTTTCTAAGAGAGAGCATTCAGCACTTTAATTGCTCAGTGCAGGTTTCATATTTTTCACCCTTTTGTTAACTGTGACCATCATGTCAAGCAGGCTGTTACGGGGGGGGGGGGGGTGATCTGCAGAGGGCCTTCTCCGAAATGGAATGCTGAGATTTTACTTATGCATCGCAGCCCTCTAAAGAGTAATCTGTTCCAGCTAGTGGGCTCGCCACAAACTCCTCACTTCGTTTTTAAAGAAAATGAAGAAGGCTGTGCTGGGATGGGCAGCCCGGAGCGGATGCGGAGAGCACTTCCTGATCAGTGGCGACGGCCTGGCATGGAAAGGCAGACAGCTCAGCTGTCCCTGGAGGCCACGCCGAGTGGGAGGAGCACAGCATGGGCACGGAGAGCTCCCCGGAGACGTCTCTCCCTGCGGGATCGGGCAGGAAGGGCCGGCCGCTTCCTCCGGTGGGATCCAGCCTGAGTCAGGGTGAGCCGCCCGCCCGGAGCTGGGCTGCCGCATCACTCCAGGAGGGGGGCCAGCGCGCAGCCCCGGGCCAGGAACGGCCAGGGCTCGCTCACGCTCTGCCACCCCATCCGCACCAGCCCTCCGCCCTCACTCCTCCGCGGAGCCCTGCCCGTGCCACCGGGCCATGCGAAGGATGGGCTGCTCCTCCCGGGCGCATGGGGATGGCCCTGCCTGTGCCCCGTCCTCAGGCGGGGAGCAGCCGGGAGCTCCTGGGACAGAAGCCCCTCGCCTCTGGCGCTTCTTACCCCCACAGGCCACCAAAACTGTTCTTTCAAAGGGTGCTTTATTGTCTGACCCTGAGTTAATTTTCTAACCAAGTTGTTTGCACTGTCATCGCTTTTTTCGAATGCCTTTGAGTGCTTTAGAGCAACATGAAAGCAGCAGAAAACACCTGCATCCCTAAACAGCACCTGCTCCTCTTGGGCAGCTCCTGCTAGCGCCTCTCCAGGCCAACACTGTGGCCAGAACCTTTCAGCCCATCTTATTTATTTATTTAAAGCTTTTATATACCACCCTCTACAAGCGTCTCAGGATGGTTTTACAATAAAAACAAGACAAAATAAAATAAAATAAAGCACAGCATCAAATTCCAGTAAATAGAATCCTCCTTAAAACCAATTAAACATTGAAATAATGGGAAAATAAAAAATTTTTCACCTGACACTGAAGAGACTAAAGCGTTGGTGCCAGGTGAACCTCTCTGAGGAGCACATTCCATAATTGGGGCACCACCACCAAGAAGGCCCTTCTCTGGGTAGCCACCCTCCTAATCTCCTCTAAGGAGGGCTCCCGAAGGACCTCCGCCTCAGATCTTAAGGGGTGGGAAGGCACATATAGTAGAGGGTCATAATATAACGGCACTGCAGCAACATCTGCGCCCTCCTTCCCCCTTTTGTGGAGAAGGAGTGGAGATCACTGCTCTTGTACAGGCCGGCTGCCCTGCTGGATGCCCGGGAGCCCGCTAGCGCTCCGCAAGGGAAGCGGGCCCGCCATGCCTGCAGTGCAGGCAAAGCACCCGCGACAGCACGGCTTCACCTCCGCTCCCTAACCTCTTGTCTCTTCATCACTGTGAGACCCAGCCGCCAAGCACGGTACCATC